CTTTTTTGTGGTAAAATAATTAAAAATTTTCTTTTGTAAGAGTTCTCTTGTGATATTAGGTATACAAAAAAGTTACTGAACTTTAGATTTCATACAACCGAAATAACAATTTAAATTTTATATATCTTTCCGCCCTTTTGCGGTTTTAAAGCGTTGATATTTGGCCTTCTAAAATGCCATAAGGTTTGGCGTTTGATGCACATAATCTCAAAAATCAGTAGTGTTCATGATGGCAATAACAAAAGAGCATATTCGATTTTCCATCCACTTCGCGTTCTATCTGAAGAAAAATGCTGCTGAAGCCACTGCAATGATTTGTGTTGCATATGGAGAGAACGCTGTAAGTCATACTACATGTAAAAGATGGTATCAAAAATTTCGCCAAGGAGATTTCAGTCTTGAAGATGAATCGCGTGCTGGACCTCAAAAAGATTGAAACGGACGAATTGCAAGCACTGCTGGATATAAACTCTGTGCAAATTCTGTGAAAAAGGAGCTTGCAGAACAGCTTGGCGTTACGCAGCAAACCATTTCTGTACGTTTACATACGATGGAAAAGATTCAGAAGAAAGGACAGATGGTTCCGCATGAATTGTCCGAAGACAACAAAAATCGTCAGTTTGAAACTGCACTCACTTTGCTTTCAAAGTTCCGGAAAAAAGATTTTCTGCAGAAAATCATTACAGGCGATGAAAAGTGGATTCTTTATGATAATCCTAAACATAGAAAATCAGGGGGTTGACCCTGGTCAACCTTCGACATCGACGTCAAAGCTCAATATCCACGCCAAGAAGTTTTGCTCTGTATCTGGTGGGATTGGAAAGGTGTGTTGTATTACGAGTTGTTACAACCGGATGAAAACAATCACGGCAGATCGCTACCAACAACAATTGACCCATTTGAGCGCATTAGAAGAAAAGAGGCCATTTACTGGCCAAGGACGTCGTAAAGTGATCTTGCTTCATGACAATACTCGACCACATGTTGCGAAAGCGACTCAGGACCATATCTTTGCGTTAGACTGAGAACTTCTCCCGCACGCGGCATATAGCCCAGACATGGCGCCTTTCGATTACTACCTATTCCGGTCGCTGCAGCATCATTTGGCTGATACACATTTCGTGAGATTTGAAGAGATATGAAAATGCATTGATGACTTTATCGCTTCAAAGCCGGTGAGCTTCTATCGTCAAAGAATTCGCAAGCTACCCGAAAGATGGCAAAAGGTCGTTGATGCAAACAGGGAATATTTCGCTGATTAATATTTTTTTGTTTGTTTTTGAATAAAGATTGAATTTTATAAAAAAAAGCTCAGAACTTTTTTGTACACCTAATACTTTCATCATGACTTTATTATGAACTTAATAAATTGTGTTTTATTATGTCTTCCTACTATTACACAAACATGTATGTATTTTTATATTTATAGAATATAGTAAGTTAAATGAAATTATATGAATTATTATAAAGAAAGATTTTCTATTAAGGAAAGCTTTGCATCGTTGTATAGAAAACATACATGCATACGTGTGTGCGTGCGTGCGCGCGCGCATATGTGCGTATATGTATATGTATATGTACGAGGATAGTCTGAAAAGTTTTGAATCTTAATATGAAGATGACGTTACTCATCAAAACCATTCTAGTATTACAATAGTATATGCTTTGAAAGACTTTTATGAAAATTTCAGTCATTTTAGACGCTCAGTTGTTATTTGACAGTCGTTTGTGTCAGTCGATGTCAGTTTTTGTAAAAATGGAAAAAATTGAATATCGTGCTGTGATTAAATTCTTATATTTGAAAGACAATACGCCTGCGCAAATTAAAATCGAGTTGGATGCTGTTTACGGGGGACTCTGCTCCATCATTTGCTACCGTAAAAAGATGGGCAGCTGAATTTAAATGTGGTCCTACCAGCTTGGGTGATGATGAGCGTTTGGGACGGCCAAAAACTGCGATCACCGCTGATAACATCGAAAATGTTCACCAAATGGTACTGGACCATCGAAAGGTTAGAGAGATAGCAAAGGCTATGGACATATCGAAAGAACGCATTTGTCATATATTGACTGAAAAATTGGATATGCGCAAGCTATCCGCGCGTTGGGTGCCGCGCTCATTTTGGACCAAAAATGAATTCGAATGAACATTTTCAAGGCCCTGTTGGAACGGTTCAAGCGAAGTCAGATTTTTGCGTCGATTCATAACTGTAGATGAAACTTGGATCCACCACTACACTCCAGAGACAAAAGAACAGTCAAAACAGGACTGCAAAGGGTGAACCTGCTCCGAAAAAGGTGAAGATTGAAGAAGGTGGAGAGACGGTTCCATAAGGTGGGAAAGTAATGGCGACTGTTTTTTGGGATAGTCACGGAATTGTGTGTATCGACTATCTTGAAAAAGGTAAAACAATAACGGGAGCGTATTACGCATCATTACTTGATAAGCTGAAGGCAGAAATTGCAAAAAAAACGGCCGCATTTGAAGAAGAAGAAAGTGCTGTTCCATCAAGACAACGCACTTGCTCACACTTCGGCGGTCGCCATGGCCAAAATTCACGAACTGGATTTCGAATTGGTTGACCACCCACCGTATTCACCAGATCTGGCCCCCAGCGACTTTTTCCTGTTTCCTAAGCTTAAAGTTTCGCTTGAAAGACAGAGATTTTCATCAAACGAAGAGGTCATCGCATACGTAAACGCCTATTTTGCGGAGCAAGACTCCAACTACTATTTGGAGGGGTTAAAGAGGTTAGAGTATCGATAGGAAAAATGTATCGATTTAAAAGGAGATTATGTTGAAAAATAAAATTATATTTGACCGAAAAAATACTTGTTTCTATGTTAAGCTCAAAACTTTTCTACCCTCGTATATACATATACGTATATACATATGCATGTATACACGTACGAATGCATGCACGAACATATATGAAATTTTTTATAGTTTGATTTGAAAAAAATATTTCAGATATAAATTGTTTAGTTTTTAATATAGAATTCAATTGTGTTATTTTTTCATTGGATCTATTCGAAATTTCAAAGTTATTATTCTTGTTGCTAACTCAGGATTTCTAAGTCAGGAGAACTTGGAAAATTCAATTCTAATGCATTTAAAATACTTCTTTCAAATAAGAAAATTATTATATAAATTATGTATTTTTATCTGCTGATTCTTGAAATATTAACTTGTAATATTTTATTTGAGATATCTTGTGTATGCGTGTCTACTGCACGCAAAATAAAAATTATTAACATATAACAATTATTTTGTACAGTTGGAAATAACATGGACAATGCCTTCACAACGTGATTTTTACAAAAGTAAACCACATCAATATATCTCATGGATTATTGGACATGAAGGAAAAGGTTCTTTAATAAGTTATCTACGCAAAAAAATGTGGAGTCTTGATATTACTAGTGGTAATAGTGAAAGTGACTTTGAACACAATTCCATGTATGCCTTATGGAAGCTTAATCTCATACTTTCTTATGAGGGACATCAACATTTGGAGGAAGTACTGGATGCAATATTTTCTTATATTAATTTATTGAAACAAGAGGGTCCACAGAAACGAATTTATGATGAGATATATAAAATCGAAGAAAACAAGTTCAGGTAAACAAGTTCTTGGATAAGTAAATGTGTAAGGAATAAATTAATAGTATAATACTATTACTACTGTTATTACTAAAAATAGAGGAACTTGCCGGCCTTTGGGTCATCAATCTTGCTGAATTTTGCTAGAATGTTTGCTAGTATTGAAATAATCAATATTATTCAGAGGTGATGCATTTCTAAACTATTGACGAGAAATTTCATTTTGAATTTTAACACGTTCCATTAGTTCCAGTGCAAACATTCATTGTATGTGAAGCTGACGTGTCATTTCATAGAAATTCATAAATTTTTAAGAATTCTGGCTTCCGTTTTAATAGTTTTAATGTTCTTGATAGGTTATAAGCAAATAGTTCTGCTCATTAAAGTGAAAAAAATTGGACAAAGTGAGACGCCAAGCTCACGCTGTGTCACTTTGTTCTAAACAACAAGTTCTGATGTCCGTCAATGCAAGATTTCGAATAATTTACAAGTTCTAGAAGAGTTTTATAAAGAGTTCTGGCAAATGAGAGGAAAAAATTGTTTAAACATAAATCAAGAAATTATTTAAACATAAATCAAGAAGATAATTATATATGATAGTTTAATGATAAATCAAGTTAAAGCACAGGTCAATAACTCGGAGTTCTAATTTAATAAATATACGTTTCGTGTAATTCCGAGTTAAAGTATTAAAGCACTTTCTAAAGAGTTCTAGGCACTGGCGATGGTGTACGATTTTTAAATAAATAAATATCGCTTATGCGTACATATTTATTTAAAAATTGTACATCACCGCTAGTTATTTAAAAATTGGGTAAATCTTTACAAAAATTTACACAGCTCGGATTTTGACCTTGACATATGTTGTAGAAGTGAGGGTACTGATCATTTTTCCTTATAATTTAATTGGTGGTCTTGTATAGTTTTTGAGATATACTTATATAAATGTTAGTAAATTTGGTAAATGTCTAGAAAAACGAAGCTCCCTCCAATGACCTTGATCTTGACATATGTTGTCATCACTACTCGGCCTTGAGAAGGTTTTAGATGGCGGTCACTGTTCGTTAAAAAGTTATTAACAAAAAAGTAAATTCGTGAAGCAACATGATAACAGTACAAAGTGGAAATGAGTATTGACTATGAGAATGCCATCGACCGAATGTAATCAAAACGAAGCGAGAACTACGTTACGTGTGTACGTACTTTGGACAAAAACACAAATTTACTTAATCTTATACCTTGAGTAATTTACTCAAGGTATATATTAAGTAGAGTGATTACAAAATAAATACACGATTATAGTTTGGCAATCGCTATCAATTAATAAGAGTAATAATAATTAAATAATAAAGTGTCGCTCGTTTGCCGCATCCGCTTTGTCAGCAGTGAACGCGATTGCGTTCGCGACATCCCTTTCATGTAAAGGAATTACGAAAGGTTTTGAGTTCCGTATGTGTGGTCGTTTTTGACGCTCGCGACAATAGATATTTTTTTATTTAGATAAAGAAATGTATTATGCAAATGTTTATTGATTTATTTAAGAACAGAAGGACAAAAAACAGTTTTATGTTCCCGTATTTATATCTAAATATGCAAGGTTTATATTCAAATCACCCACGATCAGGCGATTTTTTACATATTCAAAGGATACCGGTTTTTATGAGGAGTCTCAAATGAAATCAAATTGAATGAAATTTTAATGATACAGATTTTGGCTTACTGATCAAAAGTCTCAATGGACTAAATAATAAAAAATTTTGAAGTTATGGCAACTCAAATATCCAAAATTGACCTCCATCGTTAAACGGTATGATAATAGGCACTTGAGATTTAATGTATTTTATCCCTTTATTATCTCTTAAGAGTTTTCATTTACTTTTATTTATACTTACACATCTCTCATAGCGCACGATACGATATATATTCATACAGAAATTATATCGAACATAATTTATTACGCAAATCCTATACAGTGACACATTACGAGAATTGGAAACAATTATTGTAAGTAGTCAACATATTATAGATTATAAAACATTATATTTAGAAATAAGAATATATTTATAGAATATCTTTATATATTTATATTAGAAATAAGAATATATTTACATTTAATATTTATACATACATCCAATTTTTTCGACTGAACTGATATCCGACAAATACGTCCGAGTGCCCGAATCTCGTCGATAAATAATTGATACAGATGTATATTGTTTATATTTGTGTAGATAGATGTGTAAATGTGTGTGCATAAATAAAAGTATAAATGAAGATTCTTAAAAGGATTCTTCCTCGGGAGTCTTAAAGGAATTCGCAATTTATTTCCGCATATCATGATCTGTAATTACTGAGCAGTAAGATCTTGCCATACGTCCCGATTTTCTGCCGCTCTCATTATCTGTGCGGTAAATAGATTTGTTAATATTTTTATCTGGTTAACATATCTATTGCACAATTTTCCTTTTCTTTTTCTGTCAATCCTCTCTTGAATGACTAATTTTTTTGTCCTACAATATCATATGACCAAAGAATTTGAGGATGTGCCTTTGTATAGATGTTAGTGTTTTCTTGGCTCTATTTGTAGTTCTCATAGAATTGAAGCGTTCGTCCTATAAGCTATTCAAAGTATTCGTAACATTATCTCGAACGCTTCAATCCTCCGGCGTTCTGTATTCAGAGTCTGACTCATAGGATTGGGAATATTATTGTTTCTACTAACCTTTTTTTGTTGTCTTTCTGATGTTGTGGTATTTCCATTCTTGTTAGTTTAGTCAGAGTTTGTCATAATGATCCTTCTTTTAACTTCTCCTGGGATGAATTCTTGTTAAAGATGAGGGCTCCCAGATATATAATTTTATCTTTTGGGATGTCTTAGATTTGTTGGAGCTGCACAGATAACCGATGCGTTTTGTTCACAATATAACTATATTTATGTCGATTCAATTTCAAGCCGGCTTCTGTATTATATCTTTCTTTGGAATGGTTTTGATATTTCCGAGTCAGTCAAAATCGTTGTGTTGTCAGCGCAGTTTTTTAGATTTTTTTTTCTCCTATCGAAATTCCTCCATTTCAATTCTTTATTGCTTTTCTAATAATCCATTCTTCATGTACAGGATGAGGAAAAAGTATTGATCTTGAAAAATCTCGGAAAATATAAGTTTTACAGAAAAGTGTTTCGAATAAAAGTTGTAGGATTTAAAAGATCTATTTACTAATGTAGAGAAAAGAAAGAAGAATAGATCACTTTGCTTAACGAAATCAAGAGAAACGCAAAACGTAAGACATAAGGAGAGGATAAGCATAAAATACAAAACGTTCTTTATTTAGCACACAAGACACTCCGTCATGCCACTCTAAGGTACTCATGTACTCTCGTCTTGCATCGTTTGAGCATGTTTTCTTTTGTGCAGATTTCTCGCTTACTCGTTATTCTATTGGCTTTTGATGAATTCTGCGAAGTATCGCGATCGTTTTTCTTCCGTGGAGTGGAGTCCATTTGACCACGTTGCAATTGATCACTAGCCATTCATAGCGTTTAAACAGAGGAAAACCCCTAGACACCGATTGCTGTGAATGGTTGTAATTAATCGCAACGTGATCAAACGGGATGCTCCCTCTTTCGTGCCATAATCGCCGTTTCTTTTCGCCTATTTTATTTATAGACTATTGTGTTTGACTATACTAGTCTTATCAGTTTGACCTTGAATGGCGTCGCTAAGGCCAGGTCAAGATTACTTTAAATTATTTAAATGCGCCTTATCCCTAGAATCCCTTATTTTTTATTGTATATTGTTGTAGTCCTTGTTGAAACCTTTTCAAAGCACTATAATTTTATTCATTTTGAATAAATTGTTTTGAAATTATCAAGTTTTTTTTATAATAATAAATATAAACCACAAAGGCAAGATCTGTGTGAAGATAACTTCCAACATTGAAAAAAATTACGTTTCTGTAGCTCATTCGATTGCTCACCGTTTGCACATGTATGTACATTTCAAATTTTCGTTTGCATACTTCTAATAAAAAAATGTATTAACAGACCGAAAGAGAATGTTCATTTTTCATTAGAATTATCCCCCAGCGTTGCACTGTAAGCTATATATCGAAATGTGTGTGACTTGAGTACGGATATCAAAGTCCGAATTCAATATTTTTGATACAAGTGCCACTTCCGGTCTTCCAAGTTCACTATCGAAAGTGTCCAAAACGCATTCATAGACGTAGAAAATGTGCGTACATGTAACGCTGGGTGTGTTAAACTATAATGCTCTTGGAGGGGGATGTTCATTTTAGCATCCGGCGTTGCACAGGTTGCATTTTCTGTCAACTTCACACTAGCCTTCTAACTACGAGTAAATTAGGTTAAATGTAGATGATTGTCGATAGATTTTCGTTTGCATATTCCAAAACAGGTCAATTTTTCGTTTGCACACCTTTGGTTTAAAAGTTATTAACGATTAAAGTTCCGATATTGATCAAGGTAACTAAGATGAAAACATTATATTTAAATGATTTTTATCAACAGCTTTTCGTTAGCACATTTTCAAACAAGTCAGTTTTTCGTTTGCACATCTTTAATTAAAAAGTTATTAACAAATATTGATGGAGGGCCAACTAACATAAAAAAATTCGTTTTCAAGAATTCTGGAGATACACGAGTCAAATGGAACCAATCAGAGATTTTCGTTTGCACATTCCGAAATAATTAAGTTCTTATTTACATATCTTTATTTAAAAAGTTATTAGTTGTTTTAAAAATGTTACACCTTACTGAACATGAACAAATATTTCATTTGATGATGAAAGGGTAGGGAAAAAGACTAAGGTCATACAATGATGTTAGGCAACTCTTCAATGCAACATTTCGGAATGAAAATGCAAATATCTTGAAATATACTGTTCAAAAAATTCAGACGTTTCGAAGAAACGTGGTAATGTTAATAATTATCCAAAAACAGGAAGATCAGCGACAGCAGCATATCTCGAGACGTAGATGTTTTGCAATCTTTTGTGGA